ATGCCGTCTTAACACCAAGACATGGGTTGTTTGTCAACCACCAGCAGTTCCTAAAGCACTGAGTAATGAATGAACAGATTTAGATCAAAGTGGGGAAAAAGTGGAACCTTTTGGATTAAAAGTAACTTGTTGATATTTAGTAGATTTGCCTTAAGAGCATTCTGCCTTGCCATTCTCCTTTTTAAATGGCTATTAACTTCATATATCAGATAAGGAGGTTGTGTCAAAAACACTGCAAAGACAGTTCTCCAAGAGCAGCAGACCTGGTTTGTCTTAAGATTTTGTACAGCTGTCACGGCTAAGCATTTGTGCTTCCTAAATAAAAGAAATTTGAAGGTATAATGAGCAATAAATATAGCAATAAGCAGTTTAATTAAATTTGGTCGTTGAGGATCTTGCCCAGTGGTTGAAAAGGGTGGGGTGGGAGAAAAAGAGGAACTGATTGGAGTACATTCATTGCATAAAGCAGACTTTTTCCATGTACAATCCCAACTAAACTTGCTACTAAAAGTAGAAATTGACTAAGTGACAATGGTAAGTGCTTTGCTCTTACTTTTAAAACGATTTTGGCTGTAAGGATACAATTGATGAAAGTGGAGAGCGAAGTACTTTGGTAGTTTTTAGGTACTTTAATTATTTTAAAGTGAAAGCAAGCTGCTGTAACAACTAGAGTAAGCAATGCAGGAAAATTTCGGGGAAGTCCAATATGCTAATTTTGCCTAAATTGAGATTTTTGGTGAACTCTTTTTGCATGCTACCTTAAAGTATCCATGGAAAATCTTGAGAATCCCACAGTCACACCCAGGAGAGCTGCTATCCTGTGTCAAGTTTTAGCTGTACTCAAGTTAACTGGGCGTAAATGCTGCAGAGCGTTTGTGAAGCATGCGCTGCTTTTTGTCATGTGCATTTTGTGTGAGCTTATCATTCCCATCGGTCTGTGTATGCATACCATCGAGTTGGATCAACCTGAGGAAGGATAAAGTAAACGGCATGTGACACGCACCCTGCGGTGTTGTCTTGTATAGTTTGAGGGCGATGATGAGCAACAGCTTGGAGCCTCAACCCCAAAAGCAGTTGTACTCAAAGGAAAAGGAAAGCCTTTAATTTTAGATGTATGTTTAAGCTTAAAAAAAAGAAAATGCTGAAAATACTGCGCATTGGAACTAAAAGAGAAAATAAAATATAACTATTACTGTAAGTGATTTTTCTCTGGTTATTTAAAAAAAAGGTCTTGATACTTTCTTGCTTCAGTTTTTTTTCCTCATGTCTTCTTTCAGCAGCTCTCAAATATGGAGTATTTTAAAAATACACAAGAGTACTTGAACTCTCTGCGAGTGTAGGTATGCTTCACAATCACAGTGCTGTTCACAATTAACAAAGAAGTATCACAGTTGAGCTTTTAATTGTATCTAATAGTCTCACTTGGCAAAACTTCTCTGGGATTCTACATGAGATCAGAAAACGCAAAATTTAAGCGTACAGCTGTATTTATGAATGAGAGTGTATTTATCTGCAGCAGTCTGGAGGGGGGATAACGTAACACAGGAGAAGAAACGGTTTAACTTGCCTAAGCTTGGTTTCCCAGCTGTTAGACTTGCCTCTTGAAAGAAGTTTCTGGGTGGTCCTGCTGCTGAATGCTGGAGGATCTCTTGCAGTACTCGACTGCTCAGAGACATCTTGTTTTGATTAACTTTGCGGCTCTTGGCTATTCTCTGGAAATTGTGGAATAAGCTTTAAAGTAGTAGCTTAATGTACAAAGTACATGCTAGTTTAATTCTTAGTCAGAATAATTTTTTTACATCTTGTTTTTCCTTGTCAGCATTAGTAGCAAATGATCAGCCACTCTTGTCAC